TCCCCTGAGCTGCTGGTGGAGCAGCAGCTGATGAAGGGCTGCTCTCCCTTCCTGGCCTCCCTCACCTAGAGATGGGAGGAAATGACACCTCGCAGCAAACCCCAAGGCCACAAAGACTTTGGCACCTCCACACTCACACCTCGAGGTGGTTCAGGGGCGTCACCAGCAGCCAGCAGCACCTTTGCTTCCATAACCATTTAAAGAGGTGGATTTCAGCTCCTAGGAGCAGGTTCCAGGCTTTTCCATTTTGCTTTGGGTGCTTTTAGCTCCTCTGTGTCACCTCCTTGTTGCTGGAGGACAGTCCCGTGCCAGTAATACCATTTGGGAGGGGGGTAAACTCCAGGAGCAGTTTGAAATCTTGGCCCCTAATCCACTACATACTGCTTCATTCCAGAGAGAACTCCCATCTTCCAGGGAATTAAAATTAGAGTTGAATAGCAGTGAGTCAGACTCTCTGTTTTCATTTCCCATTTTCTGATTTCAAGCCAGATTTACAGAAGCTCCTGGGACTGGCAGCTCTGTCAGAACACAGTAGCAAGGGTGAGTGTTTTGTCCTTCAAAACCTGCCCTGCAGCCAAGCCTGGGGCTGACTCTAGTTTTCCTTCCCCATAACAGTTTCCAGATGGGATATTTTCTGTGTGCAAAACAAATTCAGGTGAAGCTGAGACAAAGCCTCAGGTCCCTTGTGCTGCTTCTGTAACACTCCCTGGGCTCTCTGAGTTAATCCCTGGTTCCACAGCCTTGCAGTGCCTGGAGGTCTCCTGAGAACCTCACCTGAGCAAAAGCAAAACACAGGGAGATGTGTCTCCCTGTTCCATGGGGCCTGTCCCCCTGAAAAGGAGCTCTGTGGGATCTGCCCCTGCAAGAGAATGTCACCCTCTGCTGCCCACACCTTGGAGGTGGGACCCCAACAGTGGCAGAAGGCTCACACCTGGAAAGAAGGGGATGAAGGACGAGCAACTAAAAGTCTCCAAATAACATGTCATTCAAATAAACGAACTTCTCGCTAATTAATCCCCAAGTGCTGAGTCTTGGGGATGTGCTGTGCCCCTGCACTGGGAGCTGAGTCTCTTAGTTTAAGTCTGTGATGCAAAAATCACAGTTTGTTGTTTCACTCACCCTTTAGATGAGGTCTGAGGTGCAGCTAAAAACTTTCACAGTGTAAAAATACATATGTTTTAAAAGCGAGGGAATAAGGGATAGGGACCTTATGCTGTAAACACAAGAATTTGTGGGAATAAGCTCACTCAAGCTGGTTGTAATATATCTAAATATCTATCTATGCAATATATCTAAAGATCAGGCAAGTGTAAGTCATCGTTTCAGTAGAAAATGCCCTTCACCAAGATTGGGCAGGATGTGAAAATGGGTCGAATCCACAGGAACCTCACGAGCAGCCTGAGCTGTGCCTGTGAGCAGTTGGTTGGTTTCTGACTGAAGATGTGTCCCCTCCACCAGTTCCTGTTGTGTTCGTGCAATGACATTTCCCAGCAAGGGCCCTTTCTGCAGGCAGAACCAGGCCAGTAAATAACTGTTTTTGTTAATGTCTAGTTTCACTTGAGGAGCAGCTCTAAGAGATCCTGAAAGAAATATTCTCCAGTAAATAGTGTCTGTCTCCTGAAGTATCCAGGGCTCACAGAGTGTTTGGGTAACGCCCTCGGGCACATGGTGGGATTGTTGGTGTGTCCTGTGCAAGGCCAGGAGTTGGACTCGATGATCCTTGTGGGTCCCTTCCAACTCAGGATATTTGTGATCCCTTAAATTTGCCTCACACAGCTGAGGTTTCTTTCAAATCATGTCTAGAATATGTTCATTTTCTTCTGTGGGATTGAAATCTCAGGAACCATGACAGCAGCTTGACTGGAACACCTTACTCCAGGTCCGTGTGCTCATGGATCCTGGTCTGGAGGTTTATAAAACAGATGACTGTGCTCCCCTGCACTGTGCAGCTATTAAATACCTTGTCAATCTAGTCTTGACCCACCTGTTCACAGCAGGTCTGGTTTTGTTTGTGAGGTCCATGTTCTCTCCTTCCTTTCACACAGATCTGATGAATGTAAAAGTTCTGTACCTCTCACAAATATCAGACGTGAGTGGCATTTTCTTATTGTGAAAGCCAGAAAGTTCGATCCAGCAGGATTTTTCAGACCCTTACAGACTTGGAATAAGGAAGAAAGTAATGTAACACAATTCAGCTTCTGTGTATGTGCAACACACACATATAGTGCTCTCAGAGCTGGCTCGGGGACTGTCTTTGGGAGAGGACAAGCAAAATGCTGATTTTGGGATGACAGAAGTGCTGTGTGCCTGTACTGGGACATCCCAACCCTGACTGTGGGAATTAGGCTGAATATTCCAATAGGCCTTTTGTCCCAGTGATGGGCCACATTTAGTTTCTTTATGACGCCAAAAGCAAACTGAAAACAGATTATGTTTATATGACATGACTTTTATGGGCTGTGGTTTATGAAACATGGTGATGGGCTTAACCCCAGGTAAGAAGCACCTTGAATAGAGCAGGTAGCACGTCCTAGGTGAGTGCTGAATGCTGTGTTTGCTTTGCAGGAGGTGAACTTACTTCTGAACAAATCCTTTGTGGCCAAATCTGTCATCTGGAATTATTTTCCTGTATCATGTGTAACTTTGGGATGAAGATAAAAGTTCTCTTATGATTACAAGCTCGTCCACGTTGCTCTCTAACTAATATTTGTTTGGTTTGGTTTGGTTTTTTAAAAAATATTCATTATTGCAAATCTTAAATCATATTTGAAATGTACATTATGTGATATGAGCAGGGCCTAGGAGTGTTGCAAACCCCTTGGAGAAGGGAGGCGAGTCCTGGAAATCACTGTCTCCAAGAAGTCACAAAGTGAAATGGTTGAACAGCCCCAAGCTTCAAATTATTTCCTTTGTTTGTGTTGCCTCAGGAAATTAACCATCAGCTAATTTAGATTACAATGGATTAGATTTCCTTAATTAAAGGCAGGTAACTGTGAGATAACTGCACACATGATAAAGATACTTTAGGGCATTCGTTACCTCAAAATCATTGTTGTGTTTCTGTCTCCTGGCCAGTTTTGACCCTTGGAGGATTTTACTGAGAAAAAGCTCTTAAAAATAATGGACGATGCTGCAAAATATTTCAGAAAATTCTAAGGAATTATCTCAGCTAGTTGTTTCTAATGCCAGCTGGGTTTTATTTACATGCTGGTAGAATTCCCGTAGACTGAGGACGTCCCATCCTCTGCACAGTTCCTGCTTGGAAAACACAGTCCACATGCATTAATTTGTACTCAGAATGCCTTATCTCATATAATTTGATTTAAACTGTTATTAATTCTACTTGTACAGAGAAATTTGTCTTCCCTGGCCCAGGTCAAAGACATAAAGTCTGGATTAAACACAGCTTGGCTGCGAAGGGAGGTTTTGGGAGGTTATTGCAGCAACAGCCTCAGATGGGGATTCTTATATTACCTGATAACCCAAAATAAGAGGTTTTTTATCTAGGGAAACCCCTTCAGAGCAAGTTATTTGTTTAATTCATGTTAAAACTCATGTTGTATAAATGTCATGTATGAAAGAGAATTTAGTAAAGCACTGTGTATCTGTAAATAAAATTCCTCAGTTCTAATACTGTTTTCTCTAGTGCTAAAAAAAATCAATTCCCTCTCTTGGGCCTCATAAACCCATATAAAATCTGCCAAAACTTGTGAGTTTACAGCAGTTTGCTCGTACGAAGTGTTCGTACGTGTAAACCCCAGTGCTGAGAGGATGATGCTTAAAAACCACGGCCCGTAGGGACCCGACCGGGCAAGAGACACGAGGAAATAAAACTTTATTTTTCATTTTGGCCATTAAAAACCAACATTTTCGAGGGTGTTGCCGCTCTCTGATCCCAGGGCCCGGGCGGGGCCCGCAGAGCCGCCTCAGCGCTCCCGCCATTGGCGCGGAAGCACCGCCCACCCGCGCACGCCGAGTGACGCCACCTGTCAATCAGCTCAACGGCGCTCTCTGATTCGCTGTCACTTCGCGTCACGTGAGAGAGGGCTGGCCGTATATAAGG